AAAAAAAAAAGAGAGAGAGAGACCACACACCGTGGCTCACGCCTGTAATATCCCAGCACTTTGGGAGGCCAAGATGGGCAGATCACCTGAGGTCCGGAGTTCGAGACCAGCCTGACCAACGTGGTGAAACCCCATCTCTACTAAAAATACAAAATTAGCGGGCTATGGTGGCACATGCTTGTAATCCCAGCTACTGAGGAGGTTGAGGCAGAAGAATCACTTGAACCTGGGAGGTGGAAGTAGTGGTGACCCTAGATCATGACACTGCATTCCAGCCTGCGCAGCAAAAGCGAAAGTCCATCTCAAAAAAAAAAAAAAAGTTATCTGACTAAAATGCAAAGATAATTGCCAGGGTTTTGAGGTAGGCATAGATTATTTCTACTGAAGTTATATTGGTGACATTTGTTCAAAAGAAAGAAATTATTATCTAACTATCAAGGTACTACTTACTGTGCATTTTCCTGATATTTTTGGGTAACACAATCTTCTCTTTGTAAAATTTGTAAAAATCTGCTACGTGCTAAATGGCATCTTGCAATGCATTTGTGCAAATCCTGTGGTTTTAAGTTAAATGTCTCTGCAAAACGATGAGAAGAATCTACATGGAACACAAATAAGATTATAGAAAACAGGCTGATCTGATAGTAGCAGGTTATCAGAATTTAACATTAGTATCACTCAAGTTGGTATACAATCTCCCACTAAATTTGATTAACTTTTTTAAAAAAGAAAAGGAAAACAGACTTACAAGCTAATAAATACCAAAAATGTTGAACTTTAATATTAAGAAACCAACATCATGTAACTAACAACTCCCCAAAAGCCAGTATACTACTAACATATAACAATACAACTAATGTTTTGCTTTGATTTCTGGGTTGTTTTCTTGAGATAGGGTCTTGCTCTCTTGCCGAGGCTGGAGTGCAGTGGCACAAGCATAGCTCACTGCAGCTTCAACCTTCTGAGTTCAAGCAATCCTCTCACCTTGGCCTCCCAAGTAGCTGCGACTGACTACAAGCACATGCCACCATGCCCATCTAGTTCTTTTTTATTATCTTTCATAGAGGCTGATTCTCAAGGTGTTGCCCAGGCTAGTCTTAAACTCCTAAACTCAAGGGATCCTCCTGTCTCAGCCTCCCAAAGTGATGGGATTACAGGTCACCACACCCAGCCTGATACAACTAATGTTAAGAAAAGTAAGATGACTTTTTTTGTTTTGGCATAGAGTCTTGCTCTGTCGCCAGGCTGAAGTATAGTGGCACGATCTTGGCTCACTGCATCACTGCAAACTCTGTCTCCTGGATTCAAGCAGTCCTCCTGCCTCAGCCTCCCGAGTAGCTGGGACTACAAGCATGCCACCAAGCCCAGCTAATTTGTGTATTTTCAGTAGAGATGGGGTTTCACCATGTTGGCCAAGTTGTCTCGAACTCCTGACCTCAGGTGATCCACCCACCTCAGCTTCTCAAAGTGCTAGGATTACAGGCGTGAGCCACAACTCCCAGCCAAAATGACCTTTTTATAAAGTAGGCAACTATAAAAGATTTCTAAAGGTGAGTTACTTTATTTTATTTTATTTATTTTTTTGAAACAGAATCTCGTTCCGTTGCCCAGGCTGGAGTGCAGTGGTGCAATCTGAGCTCACTGCAAACTCTGCTTCCCAGGTTCAAACCATTCTCCTGCCTCAGCCTCCCGAGTAGTTTGGACTACAGGTGCATGCCATCACACCCAGCTAACTTCTGTATTTTTAGTAGAGATGGGTTTTCACCATGTTAGCCATCTCTTGACCTCATGATCTGCCCGCCTTGGCCTTCCAAAGTGCTGGGATTACAGGTGTGAGTCACTGAGCCCAGTCCAAGGGGAGTTATTTTACACACTTAAAAATGTTCAGAGTCCATCTACCTAAAAAAATTCTTACTGTAATTTGAGACATCTATAAATACTGCATTTATTTACAGATATCTCAAATTATAGTAAGAGCTACTTTGCTTCCAAACAGAATCTTTTAACAAAAGAATAAAGTCAATATAAAAAAGTAGGAGGAGATCACATCATCTCCTTTGCTGCCATCAGTTTACTTTTCCTCCTAGTAAGACCAAAATGACAAGATAACCAAATAAAAACATTGTTCATTTCATAAGCAATTCTTCGCTGTATTACTAAAAACCAAAGTAGAACTGAGAACAGCCCACATAAACATTTCAGAGTTAGGTTTTTACCTGTAATAAATGTAATAACTCCTACTTTAACGTGGCTCAATACAACAAAAATTTGAGTATTCTGAGGCCGGGCGTGGTGGCTCAAGCCCGTAATCCCAGCCCTTTGGGAGGCTAAGGTGGGTGGATCATCTGAGGTAAGGAGTTCAAGACCAGCCTGATCAACTTGGTGAAACCCCGTCTTTATAAAAAATAATAATAATAAAAATAAAAAATAAAAAAATAAAAAAAAATGAGTATTCTGAAAATCAGGGAATTCCAAACTGCATTTAACATTGCTTATCCAGGTCCTAGTATTGCCTCAAAGAAACCACCAGAATTTCTAAATATTTAACAGGAAATGAGTTTACTGAATTTAGAAGTTATCTAGAGACTGAACATGTTGACTGGAATTGGTTTAAATCTAGAACACATTTTATATAAAATAGTTTGTATTATATGTAATTTGGGCAGATCATCCACTAGCAGAAAAACTGGAAACATTCTTACATTACATTTATAATATCAGCACTTTGGGAGGCCAAGACAGGAGGATTACTTGAGACCAGGAGTTCAAATCAAAAGTAGGAGAAGATCACATCCAGCCTGGGCAAAATAGAAAGACCCACCCATCCCATCTATAAAAAAATAATAATTTTTCTTTTTTTTTTTTTTGAGGCTCAGTCTGCTCTATCACCCAGGCTGGAGTACAGGGGCACAATTTTGGCTCACTGCAACCTCCCTCTCCCATGTTCAAGCAATTCTCATGCCTCAGCCTCCCAAGTAGCTGGGATTACTGGCACCCGCCACCATACCTGGGTAATTTTTGTATTTTTTAGTAGAAACAGGATTTCATCATGTTGGCCAGGTTGGTCTCAAACTCCTCACCTCAAGTGATCTGTCTGCCTCAGCCTCACAAAGTGCTGGGATTATAGGCATGGAGCCACCACATCCAGTAAAAAAAAAAAAATTTTTTTTAATTACAAATTGCTCCTAAACAAGAAACAATTTTCAACCTCACTAACAAGAGAAATACAAATTAAAACTATACTGAGATTCCACTGTAACCTATCAAACTGAAGAGATAAAAATGTCTGATTATTTACTTAGTATGTTCTCAGGAGTTATGGGTAAAAGAAAAAAATAAAATAAATAAATAAAAAAGTCTGATTACATACTATGTTAATGAGCCTTTAGGAAAACAGATACTGCCGGGCGCGGTGGCTCACGCCTGTAATCCCAGCACTTTGGGAGGCCGAGACGGGTGGATCACGAGGTCAAGAGATCGAGACCATCCTGGTCAA